TTTGCGAGTTGCGAGTGCGAGACTGACAAGTTTCAAGTACAGAGGTAAGCATATTTTCCGAAGAAAAAAATTATCACGGGAAATAACGTGTACTATAAATTTTCTTACATCGCACCTTCCATATGAATAATTTCGTAGTGACAAAACGATTTGCAATCACAATGGTAACTAAATAAACAAATGAGTAATATCATTTATACACTATTTCTGTAACGCTGCACAAGCTGCGCAAAATTCCATTTGTAAGCAAGCATTATACACATTTCGATGGTTCCGAATGAGTTCTCAAGCATGTAGGTAACCGTGTTCACACAAGACTTTGAAATCTGTTAGTGTGACTCTACACTTTTAACCCTCATGTTGCTTGACATTGCGCATTTTCAAAAACGAAAAAGATGCAAAAATTCATTAACTCCGGGCATTTTCCATGTTCAAATCGGAGTTAAATTTCCTATCGAATGATGCCAGTTTCATTGGTAGCTGACTGATGTAAGCCGTTCGTAACTTGACTCAAACATAATCCCGCTAGGATCTGTCGGCTACGAGATAATTAGAGTGCGAAGACGACATATAAACCCAATTTTGCAAATAGTGTCTATTTTCAAATATATTGTCTACAGGATATCTAAATCTTGTAGGCCCAAATCTCTAATTTTACTGTAAATGTTTAGTTTCTATTAAAAGATTCCTTGGGAAAAGTCAAGGTTTAAAGAGTTATCTTAGGCCTGAAAAATATAAAGAAAATTTGATATAACAACATCTTTCTTAATTTATTCGCACAATTTCTACGGAGTCATGAATTTTCCGTGAAACTAACTAATAGATTCTCCAAATAACAAGCAAACTTGCTTGGATTAAATCTTCACATGATAGAATTTTAATTCACTTTATTTCTATCACTATTTAAATTTTTCTTGTTATACAGTTATTCTACCATTAGTCATTAAGTGCCTATTTCTTTTGTAATTCTAACTTCGTTTTCAAAATTTTCTTGCTAAAAACTAAACATCTTCAGTAGAGAGAAATGTGAGCCTTTAGGATTTAAATCAATATCCTGTAAGCAATACATTCAAAGATGCGAGATCTCATTAGCAATATTGGGCTGTACATCTCGCCTTCGCACCCATCACCTCGTAGCCGACAGATCCCAGCATTATTATGCTTGGGTCAAATTATGAAGTAGTACGTATATTCCATCCCCGATATTAGATGAAGATTGACGATATCAGCACGATTCTTGGTGCTGATTTCAATTTCAAGTGTACTTGACTTTGAGATAGGTTTGTAGTGTTGCCAATCAAGATGAGTGAAGTAATCGTGTATACTATTTTTGTTCAAATAATGAAG